ATATCTGTGGTATTTGCACTGAGTCATTTCTATTGCATGTCTTGTGTTGGGTGTAGACTCGATAAACCATGCAAGATTCAGTAATCAATCTCTCTCTCTCCTCCTACATAGATTACTTCGTAGAATCTTAACGTCATCAGTTAATATTACTGTATAACACTGTGTAACTTATCAAAATAAAATCTTATTCATAAAGGTGTTATACTCTACCACCACAGTGCTCAAGTCTTATACTTATATCAATAATACCGTTTCTCTTTTTTTGGCCAAGCTCATCAGCCTTCTACTCTGTTTGTTTGTGCTCAGAAAACCGTATCTTATGAAACTATTCAAATTTTCGAATGGAAAATCTAAAGGTTTAATAGTCAGAATTGACAAGTTATCATACGACATTTGAAGTCATGTTTCTTGAATGCAAAAACATAATTTCTAATTATATCTCATATAGCAAAAATAAAAAAAAAATTTACCGGAGGCAAAATGCGAATTAATTATTTTATGATGTACACGATATCTAAAAAATAAGACTTTTCATTCTGTTTTTAAGGTGATTAGCATTTCCCGTTGATATTAATTCTCTATTGGCGGCCTGCTTAAATTTGGGCTACTGAAAAATCCTATCGATTTTCTCCTAATCAATTTGTTTAAATCTGACAAAATGTGACCAGCAATGACGTTTTATACTCTGTCGAGTATTTTAAATAGTAATAATAATTTGCTTTATTCTAAAACATTACTTGTGATACAGAATGGAATTCTCAGCATTTCACTACAAGACATTGGATCCAGTTTGTACATTAACAATAAATAAAATTCTGCATAGATTATGAGTAATCTCAGTTAATTTTGACAACAACATATGTGCATGTCGGTAGCAAAGCCAAAATTGAACAGAGTGTTTGAAGGTGTTAGAGAAGTAGATACTAGCATATTTACTGGCGTAAGCGGTAACAAAAAGGTCGAGATATACAGAGGGTGAAAGAACAAAGAAGAATGTTCTAAGTAGTGTTTGTAAGGAAGAAAGAAACAAGCAGCACATAACAAAAACAAGAAAACGTTGTACCTACTGATGATATTTGTTAGGAAGACAAGATCTAATTGTTCTACTGACTTTCCAATAAGTTATAGGTATCACGCCTAATGCTTTCTTTATCTCACAGAACACGAGCTAAGTAGGATATGATTGAGTTTTTGTACTTGCTAGTGCAAGCATATAGTTTTCCATATAGGCTTCTGGTTCTGCCTGATGAGATGCAAGGGGACAGTCGTGAATGACTAGGGTGGTATGAGTTAGATAGAATGGATTCAATTAGCCCATTATTCACATGAGTCGAAGTGCCTGTCGACCAGAATATTAACAAGCTGATTAAGTGGCACGATGCTTACCCTGCTGACAACCTTTAATATCCTGCGTAATAAGGTATAGTCTTTTTTCAGTAGACCTGGATAAACTAAGGGTGAACAATAGAGAATAATAGGCAGGACGCAAGAGTTAACGAATCGTAAGAGTAAGGGCTGGGTTGGTTATTGCACAATGTCTTAACTTCTTGGTGTAGAAGGTAAGACGGAATATTTTCTTAAAAATCATCAAGATATGAGACGACGAAGAAAGATCAGCGGATAGAATGATGCCAAAATATTTAACTTTCAACTTGGTTTCTATTTCAGTGCCATTTATGTTGCACACTTCGTGAGTGCTAACCAGTTTGTTTAGGTCAGATTTTTGCTTAAAGGTGAAATTGTTTGTTTGACATTTGAAGAGAGGGATTTAATGTTAGACCGTTTTCCTTGGACCACTGGCTGATTTCTTATAAAAAGCTATTTAGTTTGGAGCAGTCACTTTGACACCTGACAGGCAAAGATACAGTCAGATCGTCAGCATGTTATAATATCTACATAAATGTGCTTCCAACTTGCAAATTAGCAAGTGTCTGGTTATCGTGAGAAAAGACGTATTCGTAGGTGAGTTGGAGTGCAGTGCAATGCAAGAGATAGCGAGCTAGCTGTTCTTGGGTTGTGTCTTTGGCCAACATAGAGAATGGATTCATGAAGGTTTTCTAATTATCATACAACCAAATAACATGAATTTACCGAAGAAGACAAAGGGACGGTATCATAATTTCTTGGTATGTGATTCATGTCAGGCAGAAGTGTTTCACATGATCAAATGTCACGTGATATTTTATTTGGAGATACTTGATAAAGAGAAAATATCATGCAATATACCATGCTGAAAATTTTGCACAACATATAAACGCTGTACAGAATAAAGCTGTTCTTGTTATTTTTATCATGTCTGGCTAAAACATTTGGCTACTACTGATATGCCGGCTTTTAGCACGGACGTCTCAAGTTCATCTGAAGGTTCATGGTTACTGGCAGTAAAAGTCAGGATGAGCATTTCGTCATGCTTGGGATTACGTGTCGACTGGATGCATCTGAATCCCCAGAAAGCAGTGGTGTTCCCACTGAGATACGAATTTCGCATCTATCGTGGCCTAGTGGATAGTGATTTGGCAGTTGAGGCGATGATAGCACGGTTTGAGGGTCAGTAGGACTAGTATCAGTCACCGGGAACGCAAGTGATTCTAGTGGAAAAGTTTCACATCGAACAAAGTGGGAATCTTGCTAGGGCAAAGTTAAACTTTCGACACCACTAACAACCAATCAGCAAACGACCTCGAACGGACCAATCACATTAAAGAGGCATATATGATGAATGGAAATGTATATTTATAGAAAAAAGCATAAAATAGATAATAAAAAAGGTTACATGGGATATCTTTCTCGAACATGTGAGAGAAAAATCTTCCAGTTTAGCATGGGACTGTCAATGGAGAAGTTACACCATATCCTGTACATATATTCATCCAAATGACTATAAATGAGATCCTTTTGAGATACATTTATAACCCTTATCCTATTTTCCAACCTACCCCAAAATCCTTCATTAGAATTTGTATGTGTCCTCGTAACGGAATCCACAAAATCACTTGAATGGTTGTCTCTACGATGAATATATCCCAGAGATGACACCGAATTGTAGCCTTTCCGTGTGTATAATTGACCCCCGCTTAACAATTCTGGTAACAATAGGTATAAGAGTAGTTGCTTTTCTATCTGCTATCCTTCGGGAGAGAAGCGACCTAGCGAAAAAAGTTCCTACGAAATAATGAAATTATCAGCATACCCTCTCTACTGTTAGTAGGCTTCAAACATATAGCACAACGATGAACAAACCCATCAGTTGATTTGGTTTAGCTTTTTAAAGTCATGATACCACCACACAATCAAATTCGTTCTTTCCGGAGCAACTGAAATCTAGGGAATACTTGGAAACACTAACCTCCTCAAATTGCAACAACAGCCTTGTAAGGTCACGCATTAGAAATGAATCAGGCGCTATACAACATTGAACTGCGTTCGTGAACCTCATTGGATAATTCGACATCGTTCGTGAATCTCATTGGATAATTCGCTGATTGGTAGTTAGTGGTGTCGAAAGTTTAACTTCGCCCTTGCTAGTTACTATCGACTAAAGTGAACCAGGATTCTACCAAAATGGTCCTAAATTTGTTTTTACATTGGGGGACCAGAAAGAAGAGGACAGTTCTGATTTCCTGAACATGCGCCAAAAAGTCTACGTATCAAGGGATCAAAGTTGTATAATAGCCACTACCAGACATCCCATCGATACGAGTCATGAGATGGAAATTGCGAATTCGTTTTAAATTATCAGTAGAAAAAGGAGTTCGATTCTCCTCAAGTTTGCTGAAGAACATTTCTATCAGATGCTTGAAACCAGAATTATGTGTTCAGAAAGAAGCAGTTATTAGTTTTTCCTTGCCCTAGTAACTAAGTACTTTTATTCTCTCTTTCTCTTGATTAGGTAATCTTTGGCTTTAACCTCACATCCACCCTTTGATACAGTGTATTTTGCTTGTCTCTTGCTTCTGTGATTGGATTTCAACTCGGTACATTGTTACTTAATTTATTAGTCACTCATCATCTTACGAATCTCTCATTTTTATTGAGTAACTCCCTTATCATTCTATGCATAGATATACTTTGTTTAAACTTCAACTCCCTGTGTAAAAACTATATAAGCGCAATTTTTTGAGTTCTGTTCACTGAGTCAAGAACCTTCTGTCAACTGACATCAAGTAAACTTTTCAAGTATGTTGAAACGTTTCTGTACATGAACTTCATAATAATTTATTTAGACTGTAAGTAGCCTCCAAGTCACCTTTGGATGACCAACTCCCTGCTTCCCTTTCAGGTTACATTCAAGTGATCGCTTGTCTAGTGATGTCACTTGATGGTTATCTCAGAGTATCGCCAGCCAATCCACCCCCATTTCTTCCCGCTTATTTGTTGCAAAATCGGTTCCCACTGGTTGGTTCGCTCATTACCAGAGATCCCTGTTGCTGATCTTTTCTGGTCGGCTATCTGATCTTGAGTAGTATTGAGAGAAGACAGTCGTTGATGAAGGTGTGCAGTTTATTTGAGGTGCTCTTTATGATGCGCCAAGTCTCTGATCCATCTGTATAGTGAGTAGCACTGACTTCACATTGGAGTTGAAAATCCGGATCTTATTTCCATTTTCATGCCGAGTGCCGTTCATCTACACACAGACTTGAGAGTAATGGAAGGTTGTCTTGCTTTCCCAATGATCCTTGCTTTGATGTCCTCGTCAGTTCCGTCCCCCTGTAGTTGAAACAATGCTTCCCAGGTAGTTGGGTAGGTGAAGGAGGTTGTTCCTTTCATAATCCTCCCATTTTTGCTAATTGTTAATACTACTACTACTAATGATAATAATGGTTACGCGGTTATTCAGTTTTTCATAATTACCACTGGAGGTTGTTTCGCGTAGTACAATGGTTATATGTGTATTTCATGTTGAATAGAAAGAGCATATTTGAACTAATTTATAGACGTTTGTTAAAATGAAATGTCCTATTCATTATCCTTCTTATTTTTTGTTTTGCATTCCATTTTAGGTTGACATTCACAATAGTGTCTTATCTAATTGGTGTATTTATTTTTGCAACAATAGTCGGTAAGTCATGTATCTAAAAAATATCTAAATGCATTTCATTTTTTCTGGACCTTTTTCTCATTACTTTTCTGTCTCTAGGTTTAGTCCGTGTGATGAGAACTTATCATGAGTGTTTTTCATTGTATTGCATTGTTTCCTTTGGTTCCTGGTGAAACATACGGCTTCAGCTGCACGTCTCCACTTACTTCTGTCTTCTCCTGTACTTTCCACCTGCATCCGTCCATGTTAGTCCATACTCTTTCAACTTCTCTTCACACGATCTCATCCATGTCATCCTTGCACTGACGACAGACTCGCCGCCCCCCTTTCTGCCTGGTTCCACTCGAGCAATGTCCTGACGCACGCACGATGTCACCCACCGGCCTCCTCAGCGAGTGAGTGTCCAACTCATCCATCTCCACCTTCTCCTGCATATTTGTTAGTGGGTAATTGGTTTGTTCTTGTTTTGTTTCACAGTTTCCATAGTTTCATATTGGTGGTTCTTTCCGGCCCGGCCATCTGATCTTCAGTATAGATCCAGCGAAGACAATTGTTGTGGATAAAGGTGTGCAACAGGCTGTTGGAAATATTCTTTGTGACCCCCCCCCCACCACCACCAAGTTTCTGATGCGTATAGAAGAAGTGACTGGCTTGACCACGTTTATATTGAAAATCCGATCGGATTTTGTTGTTGACGCTGAGTGACGAAGATTTCCAGATTGGTTTCAGGTTGATTAATGTGTTTGTCGCCCGCCTTCCTGATTCTCGATTTGACATCCTTGTCCGTTCCTCCTGTAGTTGAGAAAATGCTCCCTAGATAAGTAGGTGAGTAAAGTAAGCTCTTTCAAATCCCTCCCGTTGATGGTGATTAGTAATTGTCAAATATCCAGATAGCTGAGAACCTGGACCTATCACTGGTTTTAGAAGATTAAGTTTAATTCGTAGAACACATTGCATTGTAATCAGTGTGGAACAATAGGAAACGGTTGGGCAACACAATTATTTATTCTTCAAGAGAAAAGGAAGCAACAATACTTCTGACTGTATTTCACCAATCTTCTGCCAACCAGTACAAAGTTAAAGCGATGACAGCTTTCTTGTTTACCACCAAATGAAGACCAGTTTGAATAAACAAACTTTTCAATGTTCCCCAACATGGACAGTAATCATCTATTAACACATAATAATAAACGTTTAACCTTGCTTCCGTCATTCAGTAGTAGAATTTAGGGCAACCATGCAGGTAGTCCGAAACGTCTGTTCAGTACTCCCAGCTGGTTTCCAATTGTTCTTTAACTCATAATCATACCGTGGTCAATGTTCAAATAAATCGAATCTCTACAAACCAAATCTTGAGAATTTAGTCTCATCGGATTTTAAGTCTTTGCCTTTTCACATAACGCTCCTTTTGTATCTCTTCAATCAAGACTAGAAAAAAAAGAATAAGAGACTTCCTCCTTGGATGACCAAATCTCAAAATTCTAGGAAACGAATGATTAGCATGAACGTGAAATATAAGCTACCACTGTTAGCCTTATCCATGTGCATCTGCCGACTCACCTGCTTGTGTGAAGCTGGGTATGTCGACCGTACACAGTGCTTGCTATTCATATATATCTTCAAAAACTTGTCTTCATTATTTCACAAAAGAGAAAAACAGATCCTCCGTATCTCTACGCTGGAACAACTGATCGAATCAGGGCACCAGGCAAACTCACAAAGTAATTTGGAACTCACATAACCATCGAGTTTTAACCTGTGAACCTGTGGTTTCTAACATGACTCAGGCGAAAGGCAGAAATTTCAAGGGTTTGTAGATCTCTCTGATTTAATTACTGCATGTATAACGTGTATACGCGTATGTACAACTTACGAGGCTGGCTGGGTGTGCTGCCTAGGTATAGGAGTGTTAGAAATCTGTGAAAGGAGATGGAATGAACGTGGACTGTCGCAATTGCTGACTATTGAGTCAGTAATCTACTCTGGTCTGGTCACTCAAACGACAATCTCGAGCACACTGATACAGTCAATGGCTAGTATGATGTCACCTGTGGCAGGCAAAATCACACAAACCCCAAGACGTGCAGGCGAAAAACAAACAATTGACTGAAACTTCAGGCAGCGAAGACAGGACTCCAGGTGAACATAGAAAAGACGAAGGTGAGGAAGATAAAGAAACCAACCAAACAACCAACAACAACAAGCATCAATCACTATGACCGGGAAAGGCTTGACAGCGGTGACTCCCTTCACTTATCTAGTAGGCACGGTTTCAACCATAGACGGAATGTATGAATCGGAAAGACAAGATACGCCTTCATCAACTTGAAACCAGCATGGAAATCTTCTGCACTCATTCAGTCAGCATAAAGAACAAGATTTGCACTTACAACACCATTGTTAAATCAGACATTTCTTCTATATGGATCAGAAACTTGCCCCGCATGTCATGAAAAGGATTTCCAACGAGTTTCACACTTTTGTCAACAGATGCCTTCTGTGAATGCATATTGAAGATTAAACGGCTATTAGGCCAGAAAAAGTTACCACCAAGAAACTCTGGCTGGGAACAAACCAACTAAGAGCCTGTCGCTCAACGAATTGGTGGGAGAATATGAAGATGGATTAGGCATACGTTGAGGAAACCGTCGAGTGATCTCGCACACACTGCAGGCTATCACTCGAGTGGAATCCCGATGGTTAATTATGATTGGTTCTTTAGTGTGACGTTGATATGGAGGAAGTCGTGTGACGAGGAAAGGATGGAAGATTATGGGGAGTCGTTGACCTGGGCAGCTGAAGAGGATGGTAGAAAATAGAAGAAGCCGGTAATGTGTTATTGAAAGCCTACGTTCCACTCCGAACCCCAGAGGTTAATAATAATAATAACCTGACAGAATCCAACTTTAAGTTGATGGTAGCTTGTTAACATTTTAGAATAAAAGGTGAAATCAGTATAGATTTCAGTGCAAAGGGATATTAATCAGAGATCAACCAAAGAGCATGGAATAGCCGGCTTTTCCATCTTAGTATGGAACTCTTAATTAGTCAGCAAGCACAACAGTATATCGGATCGGACCCATTACCTTCCGGTTATGAGGTAATAAAGTTGTCATTCACCTACTGTGTGTGAGGGCTCAATGATATATGAATTCTGACCACTGTCAATGAATCCGTTTTCGCCAGACAATCTTCTCTTAACTGACTTTTTTTTACTCCTATTATGAAGTAATCCAGTCACTTGTTGAGCGATAGATGAATTTTACAAGAATCGGAAAAGAAAATCCCCGAGCACTCCGTAGCGATTACACTAGTTCTCAACTAAAAACTTTATTATCGTTTATTGATGACGAACAATCAATAAAACCCTATATAAGTTAAAACCTGAAATGAAAAAAAATAGGAAAGCTGAGTAAAAGCATAAAGTTTCTTAGATACTTCAATACTTAATTAAAGACTTAAAATAGTGAATAGTAATCACGAAACTAGTTGAAAGTAAAGGAAAGATAAGGTTTAAATAAATTATTAGTAAATTAAAGATTACAGAGTGAAACATTTACGTTTTAAGTTTATTTAAGACAGATTTCTACGTTTAAATGTTTAAGCAAGTATTGAGTTAATGTACTGAGAGATGCTTCTGATTTAAATCGTTATATGAGCGCCTTTGTTAATCAATGATGAAGGGAATAGGCGACCTTATTCTTTTCTTCTTCTATCTCGGATCCACAGACTTCAGTGGGTATCTTCACGTCAATATTACAGTAAGTTTAAAAGGGAGGAAAGGTACTTACCAACAGTAGACCCACCTTGGCATCTGGGATAATTGTCACAGAATCATTGTGTTGTCCATGGAAAGCAACATATTTCGTCACTTCATCCTGCAGAGACTTAAAGATACTCCTGATGCAGGATTCCTCCTGTAATAGTCTGGGTTCGATAAAAACATATCATGGTGACGCTATGCATCATAACTGAACAGAGCATGGAATGACAATCGGCTGTTCATTATACATATATGAGTCGGCTAAACTAATAAGCTTCATCGACTTTTGAAAGGCCTTCGACAGTATTGATTAGGAAGTAGTTTTGAAACGGAGTGATGCATATTTCAGGCAATCCACAACGGGAAACTCAGAAAAGGCTATGAAGTAAAGACAAAAGTGAGACGACGGGGTTGTCTTTTATCACCAAAATGATGTTCCTGACTGTGATCAACTTCATCATATAGACAGGAATACATAGGACCGACAAAAAGACTCTAAAAGATCTGGACTTAAAGGATAGTTACTATTGAGTGTCATACAAACTCAAAGACCTACAGACGAAATCCACTAAGTTGATAGCAGAGGCAGTGAAGACAGGACCTAAAGTGGACGCTGACAAATCAGAGGTATTGAAAATGCCACCACTGGCCATCAACAACAGAAAGCATCAAGGGATATTAGTTGAAGAAGTTAGAAAGGAATAATTTCTTTCAGTTATTTAAGCAGCATCGTTTCAACTGCGAGAGGTACTGATGAAGATGTCAAGAAGAGAAAGTTTAAATAACGATCAACTCTGACAACAGATCAAACTAACAAAGATGTTGAAGCAAATGGAGATGGGTCGGAGACATGCTGACGAGATCTCTGAGTAACATTACACACCAAGCCACCTATCAAGTTGGAAAGGAAAGGGTTATAGCAAGTTTGATGTGGATCCGAAGATTACTTGGAAGAGATGGTGTAACACAGAGATTAAAGCTCCTGGGAGATCGTATAGTCGGCTAGAAAAGGTTGTAGGTAACAAAGTGAAGTGGTAATGTCCTACTGAACCCTTTCATCATATTAGGACCGTTGATAAATTAAGGGAATAGTTAAAGAATTAACCTTTGGTGTATTTGTGTTCTCTGAGTTGGAATGTCGAACTGCAAATCTCTGATTATCCTACTGGATATATGTGCTCATGCACTCCTGTATGAATGAATTATTCATCTTTCTTCAATGACGTTGATTATTATCGCAAGTATCCTATTTCTGGTA